GTAAATTAGCCATAACATTTTGCTCTGAACTCTAATTGAGGAAAACTTGGTGGCGTTGGAAAGTGGACTCGAAGACCTCTAATTTGATAGGTCATGGGCCACCTAATTCTTTATGTGCGGAAAGTTATGGTCATTTGAAGTTGACCCAAAACTTAAGAAAACTGATGGGTGACTTGAACGAATTTCTCTTTAGTTGTTTTGAAACTCGAGGTGTTACATCTAGTGAACTTAACACCTAAGATAAATTAAAATCTCTCAGAAAAATCCCGTGCACAATCGAAGAATGGTTCGAGTCTTAACTTAAAAAATTTCGGGGTGTTGCAATTTTGTTCTTCCCGAGTATATAAGAATATCACAGTGATGGATTGAGTTCGTCCTCATGCCCTACATCTACTTTCTATCAATAAGGAATAATCTAGGGTTACATCCTTAGTTTCGATAATTCTTGGGATGAGTTTGTTGTTTAATTTTGAGTTGGTATTTCTAAATTTTGAGTTGCTATATATTATGCATTGATATTCTTGAGTTGATTGTTCATGTCTATTTTTCTTTCAACACGAACCCTATTATTTGAGTATTCATTGAGTTATTTATGAGAATCTTTTTAACCAAACAATTATCTTAAATTGATTTATGAGAAATTAAAGATAAGTTTTGAGGAACGTTTAAAGAGACATTTTGAGTAAAGTTTAAGGGAACTATTGATTTTCAAATTTATCATTTTACATTGAGAAAAGAGAAACTTTGATTTCTAAACGAGTAATGACTTCAGAGTTAATTCAAACCAGTTGCCTCTTTAAAGATGATATTTTGAGCAATTAACTCAAATTGAGAAAGAGTATGTTTTACACATTTGAGCGTGAGTATATATATATTGGGAGTAGTATGGAGCACCGATATGAGGATTAGTTCAGACAACTCACATTCCTCATAAACCATGTAGCCAACATAGAAATGATCATACTTTTTAGATGACTCCTTATTGCTTTAGAGCAGAGTTTTAGTGGATCCACTTAGTTGAGGTGTTCTATACCCTGGCAAGGTATAGGTCAGGTCTAGTAGTATGGGTGAGACGTTGTATCATCACATACCTCATAGTGATGGTTGTCGGTTAGAGAATCTCCCAAATAAGAGTAAAGAGTAATTTATTGTATTTTTTTATACATCCTTGAGTTAGCATCTTTTATTAATGAAGTTTTAAATAGTTTCCTCTCTTATTATTGCTTTGTATTAAGTGGACTTGAGGTGAGTATTCTTCCAGCCTTATCAGTTCAGTTATGTATTCATTCAGCTTTATTACATACTCGTATATTTAATGTACTGATGTCATTTAACCTGCATCTTTCTATTATGCAGATACAGGTGTTCGGGATCATCAACAGACGCTCAGTTGAGATCATCTGGCACTCCAATTAGCTTTTGGTGATCCTCCTTGCATTCCGGAGGACTCCCCCTTTCTTTTTAGTTTAGTTAGTTTAGGGTGTCGTGGGTCTTGTCCCGATATCCATATTGAACTATAAAGGCTTCATTTATAGATAGAGTTGAGGAGTCTCTCAGTACTTTCTTTTCCTTTGAGATGCTTCACAAAGTATTACTATTGGATTTAGTATTGTTTTCAGACAGTATGAGTTGAATAATTTATAGTTTTAATGATTTACTTATGTTTTAAGCCTTCAAATGCTTGAGTCAGTCTTCCACTAAGTAGTCAGACAGGCCAAGGGTTCTCTTGGGGACCAACAATGATTCTCAAGTGCCGTCCACATTCAGGGTGTAGGGTCGAGGCGTGACAATTCTATCACATAATATTTTACCAAACACCAAATGGCAAATATGCCACTCCCTGTCTTACATGCTCTTATAATACGACGTATGAACAAGTAGCCCCAAATTAGCAACAAATATATTTACAATTCTAACCATTGTTATGAAGTAGTATGGACTTCCCAATATTCTCAATCATCACCTACAACGTTTAACAGGTTATCTGGACTTACACAAAAATCACCCCAGCATTTAAACACACCATCCGAGCACTCAAGGACCAACATGTAATAATTATAACAGAACAGACCAACTTGGTTCTCTCATGGAACACATAATGTTACACTCAAGTAAATCCATTCAAGCCTCACTCCGTCTTCCCTCGAGCCAAAGCATCCCTTTTATAAAATTGGTGGATATATTTTTTAGAAGATTATTATTGAATATAATACTATTTGTTTTTCTACATTTTGGCATGAAAGCAACATTAGGGTGTTGACATTCCAAAGTCAAATTATGATCTAGTAAGGGAGTCCGGAACCAAAAGTGCAAAAAAATTGTCAAAAATTCCAAAAGGGCACATCAATTATTTTTTTAACCAAACGAGCAAAATTGCTCTTGACAGAGCGATTTTCTTTTGACAAAGTTGACACTGTTAAAAAACATAAAAATCGCTGCTTCGTCCACTTTTTTTTCTTTTTTCTTTAAAATCTCTATTGTGGCAGCGATGTGATTTTTTTTTTAAATTTTTCTAAAAAAAAGATTATTTAATTTTTTTTTTGAAATAGCTGCTATAGCAGTAGCAGCTATTTTCTTAAAAAGTTAATTTTTATTATTATTAATAATCGCTGCAGGTGCAGCGATTTTTTTTAAAAAAAATGTTTACTTATTTTTTTTTAAATCACTGTTTTCCTCAAAGCAGCAATATATTTAAAGTGCAAATTTTTTTTTAATGAAATCGCTGCCTTGCAAGCGATTTTTTCTTTAAAAAAAATTAACTTTTTAAAGAAAATCGCTGCTATAGCAGCGATTTCAATTTTAAAAAGTATTTTTTTTTGAGAAAAACGCTGCAGGGGCAGCGATGTTAGAATTATTTTTTTGACAAAATCGTTGTTGGGGGAGCGATTTTTATGTTTTCTAACAGTAACGACGTGAATTTTGTCAGAATGAAATTGCTCCGTCAAGAGTGATTTTGCCCTTTTGATTAAAAAAAAAATTGATGTACCCTTTTAAAAATTTTGGCAATTTTTTTTGCCCTTTTGGCTCCGGACTCTCTAGTAAGGCATGAAATGTGCCGTTTAAATTCCAACTAATACGTACTTTGTGTTCTTTAAAATTGACATACCTTCATTATATTTGATATTTTAAAGGTAAGCTACGACTACTTCTTCTTCTTCTTTTCAGGCTCCATATGAACAAAAGGGAGTACAAGCTAGACAAATGAGATCGTGCAGCCTATTTACGGATTTCTTTTATCACATCAATCACCATCTATATATAACTAAAGAATTGTTGGCATACTCCTCATTGAATTCAAATCTAAATATTTGTTCATCCCAAATTTAAGCTATTGATGGTGATTCAAATTTCATCCAAGAAGATATCTAGCCAAATTTAATCTTTATGTGGTATAAAATCTACCAACATTGATTTACTCATTTATTATTATTTAATTAATGAAGGAAAGTTTATTGACTCTAGAGAGTAGAGAGTTAATTGGAACTAAGTGCATATAAATTCATTCGGATTGGAAGCTCATTATTCAAGAAATATTGATATTTATATAATTCTACTATAGAATTGATACACCTATTAAGAAAATAATTATTGATATAGTGAGTTTACCAATATACCCCTATTAATTGTCAAGTGGATGAATTAAAAACTTAAGATTTTAAAGAAGTTCTACATTTTTCAAAGTAATTAATTGAGGGTATAATAGGTAAAAATATTTTGTCCTTTCTTGATTTGTCAAAATTGACAAGTAATTAGGGACAACTAAAAAAGAAAAAATAGACAAGTAATTAGGGACAGAGGGAGTAGTTAACATCAAATTTCAAAATCCTATATATAAAATACTTACATGACTATTAAATTTTCAAAATCTTAATATAAGGACTTAGAAACATCGAGATGGACTAAAAGACAAAAATGTATGTTACATAAATTGAAGCAGAAAAAGTATAAAAATAAAAAAAATTCGTTTTTAATTAAAAATTTTAAATTCAAATTTCTAGAATAGAGAAACTCCTACTGTAAGCCTAATTAGTCGTGTCATGGAAGTAATTACTGAATTACAAATATACAAATGATTGAAGTGTCTCGTTGGCCATGGATAATTTTCACGTTTTTGCGAAATTTTATATCACAATTCGAAAATTTTTAAAAGTTGTTTTCACATTTTTAACTGCAGAATCACTCACAAAATTTTTAAATGTCAATTTATATTTCTGTTCAAACGCAACTCCAATTTTTAATCATCATATTCTACTGAAAGTAAATACTACTTCCTCTGTCCAATAATAGTTGTCCATTATTGATTTTGCACACTTCTTAAGAAACTATAAATAGAAGGGTAATTTTACTATATCACCCTAATACAGGGCGTAGCTAGAGCTATCCTGAGTGTCCAATTGGACACCCTTCGTTGGAAAATTACATTATATATATATATATATATATATGCCAAATTCTACATTTAAAGTGTATATATTTAAAGTTGGACATCTTTGACAAAAGTTATGCATTTAGCGTAGTGGTAATAGGTGTTCAATTAGATGAAAGAGTTCTAGGTTTGAACCCAAATAGCACTATTGTTTTGTTTTATTTTGATAGCCACACTATTATTCTTGGACACCCTTGATAAAATTTCTAGCTCCGTCACTGTCCTATAAATACAATGTCTTGAAAAATGTAATAGAAAAATAACTATAATTAAGTGTAAAGTTATCTATTGATTTCATAAAGTAGACAAATATTGTTGGATATCTTAAAATAGTATAGTGTACAACTATTATTGGATTGAGGGAGTAGTATTTTTGTCAAACACCACTTAATTATTTTTATTTTTAAAATGAAGAAGATAAGAAGTACAATACAACAATAAGAAAGAAGTATAGTCAACCCAATTAAGCAGTACAGAATAGTAGTAGTAGTACTACCCAAATTTGGCCCCTATTTTCTATATATAAAACAAGTACCCTCCAATATTCAATATTCCAAAGGCTAATTCAATCTTCACAAGCCATCCTGTATTATTATACCTTATTAATACAAAAATTAATAGGAGAGAGGGCTTAAACTTGGAAAGCCATATGGATCATGACATGCCAGGAATGGGAGGAATGTCACCACCATCACCACCACAAGATCACATGATGATGGGCATGGGGTTGACACACATGACCTTTTTCTGGAGTAAAAATGCTGAAATTCTTTTCTCAGGCTGGCCAGGAACGCGAACGGGCATGTACGTCCTCGCTTTGATCATTGTATTTGTGATCTCCTTGTTTGTGGAATGGCTCTCTAACTCCAATTACTTTAAAGACAATATGTCAAATTATAATGGCCTTGTTAAGACATTTGTGCATGGTCTAAAAATAGCCCTTGCTTATCTTCTTATGCTTGCTGTTATGTCTTTTAATGTTGGTGTTTTTATAGTTGTCGTGGCTGGACATACTTTTGGTTATTTCCTATTTGGTAGGCGTAATAATTCTGAGAATAATGCATGCCAAGCTTGAACCGTTGATGCAGTAGAAGCTCTTAATGAAATATCTGATGGTGAAGACATCGGAGTTGTTGGTCAATTGTGCGTAATTCTTAATATATATGTCAGTTTATTATTTTCTAAATTTCCATTTTCCAACTTTAATTTCCAGAGGTGAGATGTATTTGGTTGTGATACTGTAAATTAATGGGATTTATGTTATTCGTCACATTTGTCTAATTAATTTGATGATTTTTTTTAGTTGAATATTATTCGTTTCGTTTCATTTCATTTGTCAATTTTTTTTTGTTATCAATTCCATAAGGTATCTTCTATATATATATATATATA